GATATCACAGAACAATGCATTTTGGGATGTTTCTGCCACACAGGAATTGCCAGTGAGATTTCATAGAAACAATAATTTCGTATTGTATTAGCCAAAACTAATTTCTGTGCAGAATACTCCCAACAGTCTCATCTGTAGGAGTGTTTGCAACATAATTCAAGGAATAACTCAGTTTTTCTTTTAGCTTAGCTGTACACATTTGAGCAGAGGCTGCATCTCAGGCAATTGCACCTGGTCAGTTTAATATCCAACTGCACTCTGTTTTGATAACATGAATGCTCCTATTGCAGTCCATATCTTAAAGAATTTGACCCTATATTCAGAGTCTCCTATTCAGCAAAGCATTTAAGCATGCACTTAACTTTAAACATGCAAATAATTTAATTGATTTAAGTGCTTTGCTGAATCAGGGCTATAGTGTGGAGTTATGTGTCACCTCCATGGTTGTGGTGATTAATTTTTCACTTTGTAGGGTAATTTTATATGATAAGATTAAAAAAAAAAGTCTTGCTTGAAGTAATCACGTACAATTTTAGTATGTCACTCAATGCCGAGAGAATAATTAGCACTGTAGAGAAGAGGGCACCTATATGCAAATATATTTTCAGCATTTCAGCAATATTATATACTGTGTAAGTGTCAGAAACATTTATAGAAAGTATCACCTTTTCAGAAGATAGGAAGTCAAAAGAAATATTTTCGTAATTGGATTTTAAAAGGAAACTCATTTCTCTCGTTGTTTACATTAATCACTGCCATTTTTCAAATACTGAAAAATTTAGATTATTTATTTTATTTTTAGGAGTGTGAAAAGAAGTTTTTCAAAGTGGTGGATAAAAAGGTGCTCTAATTACAACCTTGGACTTAATGTTTTGAATTGGTCTTTCCTTCCTCTGATGTGGACATGGGGGATTTTGATAGAAGTGTTTCAATGAGGGAATGTAGCTAACATTTTAACTTCTGGTTTTATATCACCTTATTTTCTAAATGTGCAGGGGGGGCTGTATTGCACTGATTCACCTTCATGCCTGTTCGTACTCATGTATCTAGTGTAACTCTATCAGGCCTGATCTTGTAGTCCTTATTCAGGCAAACCTTGATCCTGGAATCCATGGAACTTTTTCTTGAGTAAGTACTGCAGGACTGGGCCCTTAGCTGTACATAATCTGAGAAGTAATAATTCTTGTATACTTATACAAATTGCTGTATACGCTGCAGTTCAGAATTTTTTACAACTTCTCAATACATTCTTTGGGCCAAATCCTGCCCTGGTTTACACCATCTGCAGTTGCTCAGCTGCATCCGCATAGGGGCTCCATAGGAGTTAAGCTTAACACAGCAGTTTGGCATAGCAATAACACTGTAATTTCTGCACAGAAATCTCCAGGCTGGCCAGGGGATGTAGCCATAGAGAATAGGGACTCCCACTCCTTCTTGCCTCCAGGCTAACTTCCAGAACCCTTCCTCTGCTGGGTTCCAGGAGAAGCAGGGGAGATGGTAACACCAGGTTGGTATCCTCTGGTTCTGGATAGATAAAGATTAGAGTAAGATGCTTAAGGAATGCCTCCCCCGCCTCGCCGCCACATGCTTTAGCAGAGACAACAGCTGGGCCCAAGGAAATGGTATTGCGTGCCTAGATACAGTAAAAGTATCTGCATTTTTCTCTCTAGGAGACCCAAATGCAGATGATTTCATGAAACTATACCAATCACTTCTACTGTAGGAGATCACTGTTCAGATAGTGTGGATATGGAAAAATATTGGATATTAGGAATCAAGTGTTGACCCACATTAAAGAAAATAACATGTAACACTAGAGGGCAGCCAGCTATTTCAGAAAGGTCTTGTTACCTGAATTAGATTTAAAGGAACACACAGTCAGATAACCAGAATTTTCAGAAGTATTTACTAGTTTTGGGTTCCTCACTTTCTGGATGTTTTGCAGACAAGAGGCCTGATTTTCCATTGCCCTGCACCCATGTCATCATTTACATCAGTGCAGAGGGATTGTAAAATGCTATCAAATCAGACTGGTACTATTTTATATCCTCTTTGCACTGGTGTAAAAGACTATGCAAGATGAAGGGCAAAGGAGAATCAGGGCTTAAGATACCTATTCTAAAGAGTTTTTACCCTGAGTTCTGTGTGGAATCAGAGTCAGTGGAACTGCATTCAAAATCAAGGATCTGTGCACGCCAATGCCTCTGCAGTATCAGATCCTAAAGAATTAACAGAATTCTCAGGAAATAGGAATTACTACAGCCCTAGAATTAGGGGCCCAGATCTTTGCTCTGATCAGCCTACCTGATTTAGGAGCCTAAGTCTCATTGAAAGTCATTGGAACGTAGGCTCCTAAGTACCTAAGTCACTTCTGAAAGTGAGACATAGGGCCAGATTTTCAAAAGTGAGACATAGGGCTTGTGGGGTTTTCAAAAGTGCTTAGGTGTCCAACTCCTATTTAAATCAATGGCAGGTAGACACCTAGGCTTTTGAAAAATAATAATAATAAAAAAAAACACATTAGGCACCTATCTGCATCTTTAGGTGTCTAAATGCTATTAAACATCATGCTCTCAGATTCCTATCAGTTAGGCATTGCAATGCTGAGTGGAGAAATGCCTAAATAGCTTTAAAAATGTGGGTCATAGTGATTACCCTTATGTGATTCCAGCAGGGAAGGAGAGGGATGGACAGGCTGGTTTTCTTTTTTTAATTAAAAAAAAAGAAACCAACTAAGTGAAGTTGGGGACCCAGGACATCTTTCACTTCTGGTTCCTGGTGGGTGGATAGCCTCCTGATCAGAGTGCATGACTAAAGTATGTGTGGATGGTGAGTGTCAGTTTTTGATGCAAAGAGAGCTGATGCTTTTGTTGATGGATCAATCTTTTCCCTGATTATTGTTGGGAAGGCATGCTTCTTCCTGGCTGAGCACCATCACAAAAGTGGTGCTCTTCAGCATCTTTGAACTTGTTCCTAGTTGACTGCCAGTCCTGGAAGAGCTGCCCTCTAAGTTAGGACAGGAGAGTCACTTGAGCATGCTTAGTACCTTCTCCTGTGTCAGTAACCAGAGTCTTATTACCATTTAGTACAGTCCTGCAGGATGGATTCATACATGGTTAGATTAAGGCATAGATAACCTAGGCACATGGCTAGCTGGAGTGGAGGAGGGATAGCGTGAGTGGCGTTGTGACCCTGTGCGCCAGATCACAATGCCACTCCCTCAAATTTGGTCTTGCTGCCATCCCCATCCCCTGTCATGATGGAGGGGAGGCAGGGCCAAATCTGAATGGCTAGCAGGGCACCAGCACTGCTCCCCCATGCTGCTGCCATGGGTCTGGCTCCTGCAACAGTACCTAAACCAGAGGACTAGCCAGAACTTCACCCCCCATCATCCAGGGAGGTGAACAGGAAGCGTCAGTGAGTGCCTGCATGGGGGAGCCAGCCGGGAAAGGGGCAGTGTGCACGAGGGAGTTAATAGGGCAGCATCCATGCAGCAGGAGCCAATTACTTACTGACCTGGATAGGAGAGGGTTAACTAAGCAACATCCAGTGATGAGTTAATTGTTCCAGTGAGTTAGAATGTTGTAGTTCATAGAATCTGCTAAATGCATTCAATTTAAATTTGTTTTTTAATATTCTCCATGTTCTAATAAACAATCACTATTTAAAATGAACTATAGGTAATTGACATTTATATGAGATTAAGTGCTGCTAATCAATACCCAAGGATGAAAACAAGACTCAGGGTTCAGAGGAGCCTGAAGAGGGCCAGTGGGACTCATCTAAGCATTTGATTAGAAACATAAGCAAGAAGGGCATTTATTCCTAAAAAGTGCTGCTGAGACACTGATTGCAGTCTGTAGATGTAAAGAAGAAAGCATAGGGAACTGAAAAAAGAAGGTGCTTTTACACACATTTTCTCTTCTGTAAAAGTATAACTGAAAATATGCAGTGGCGTTGTAACCATGTCTGTCCCAGGATATTAGAGAGACAAAGTGGGTGAGGAAATATCTTTTACTGGATCAATTTCTGTTGGTAGAGAGACAAACTTTCAAGCTCTCACCCACCTTGTCTCTCTAATACATATAGAGAGATGCTTTAATTGGTTTAAATGGGTTATAAAAATAACAAATTCACATTAAGCACTTAGTAGCATATCAAGACAGCTAGAGGATATCTCCATTGGACCCATAAATATTAGCACAAGTCTTACAAAATTATGTACGGTAAGTTTCAGTTGAATCTTTCCCCACGGTCGGTTTCTTTTATTAAACATTTGGGTATATGTGCTAGATGGGGCTACTCTGTAGTGTTCCCTTTAGGGACATGCATTGCAGGCATTCCCTGCTTTAATCCACAAGTTTTGGCTGCCTGCTTGAAGCCGGGTGGGCTGTGCCATCAGTTTGGCATCAATCTCTAACCAGTCAAGTAACAAAATAATAAATTCTTAATTTGGCTTTCTGTGCCTTTAATAAAGAAACAAAAAACTCAAAGGAAAGCACTTAGTGGTGGTGCTTGAAGGCAAGGCTCTGACCTTGCCCCTGGGTTCTGGGTTAGCACCGAGGAGCTCCTCTTCTGTCCCACATTCACTCAGAACTGCCCCCCCGAGAAGGCTCCTCAGTTGGCCAGCTAGCTCCCAATTGTCAGTGTCTCCTCCTGGCCCTTCGAGGCTTTGGAGGACTAAGTCTTGTTGGTAGGCAGTCTGAACAGGTTTTCCTTGCACAGAGGTGTCAGGGCACCGAGAGCACAAGCAGGGGGCAGAGAAGGCCTGATAGACCCATCACAGAATGCTATAATGTTGTGGGTAATGAAAGTTTGCATGTTTGAATCATAAATATCTATTTTCTAGCTAACCTTGTCCTTTTAATATTTGGAATGTTAGGTGATTGGATATGGCCAGGAATAAACTACCTCAGTCTCATAGCCACAGGTCAATTCAGAAAGAACAATTCAGAAATCTATATTATATAATGTTTACATACATGTTTTTCTTCATTTAGACTGCAAGGAGATAACTTGGCAGAAACAGCAGAGGATGTCTCACTAGTGTCTCAGACGACCGAGCAAGCGGCATCAGATTCCAATGGTAAGTTATACAATATATGTGCCGCTGCCCGTTACAGCAAAACATAATAGCGAAGAAATAGTGGGGTCAAATAATATATTGTAGTAAAAAAAAAAAACCTAAATACATTTAGATTTAAACTCCACACCAAAGAGTGCTTGTCCAGCACTGATCACCCTTGACAATAAAAATGAGTTGTGCAATAACTCAAAAGAGCAGTAGTGCATCGAGATCATGCTAATCAGCAGGCAACCTACATTTTCCTCCAAAGAGAAATCCTGCCTCCAACTGTCTCAGAAATCCTGCCTCCTCTAATTCCCACACCAACATATGGGCTTTGTGATGTGCCCGGGGCAAGTTTGGGCCGGGATGGGGAAAATGCCTGTGGAAATGGGCCTTCTTGTGAATGTTCTGCCAGCAGGCCTCTCACTTTCATACCAAAGGGGGTCTAGCTCGATCTCAGCTACAGCAGTTATGTCATGGGGAAGGAGGTAGCCTCTCAGATTGCAACAGTTTTGGGTACAAAATGTCTAGATGTAAACAACTTTGAAGTGGATCTTTTTGGATTTTATCAGTGACCCACCAGTTAAGCCATTTTTGAGCCTGGAAATAAAAACAAAAACTGAACTACTGTGGACTGTAACAAATCTACTTTAATTTATTTCACTTTTCAGAGTAGCAGCCGTGTTAGTCTGTATCCGCAAAAAGAACAGGAGTACTTGTGGCACCTTAGAGACTAACAAATTTATTAGAGCATAAGCTTTCGTGGGCTACTGAATGTCTGCCCTCCTGTATAATGTCTGCCCTCCTGGAGAGAATAACCTAAACCTAAATCTTCTGCTGGTATTTGGATAGTCTTAAATTATTGCTCCATTCCTCACCCTCATTTTACAAACAGTGAGTGTCAGTGTTTGTAACTGAGTATGTGTCACTAAATAGAAAATTAAGCTTTTGTTTGGAGGTTAGCCCTCCTCCTCCCCTCCCAAACACCCTTGTCCCAACAATAATGCACTCTGCCATGCTGTCGCAGAAGGATATCTCCATCGGACCCATAAGTATTACAATATTATCTACAGTAGATTTCAGTTGAGTCTTTCCCCAAAGTCAGTTTCTTTTATTGAACATTTTGGAAGGTGTGCCAGGTGGGGCTACTCTGTAGTGCCCCTTCGGGGCCATGCATAGTGCTAGCAGCAGAAGGTGGGCAACATGGACTTTAGTAGCTCAGTCAGTGGTTATGGGTCTATTATAGGAGAGGGTGGATGAGGTTCTGTGGCTTGCAACATGCAGGAGGTCAGACTAGATGATCATATTGGTTCCTTCTGGCCTTAAAGTCTATGACAAAACACTCCTGCTATGTGATGGAGACTCCTGCATCTGATGGGCATTTGGAGGAATTTAGGACATCCCCAAATCCTGTGCTTCCTCCCCAAGGATACTTAAAAAAGAGGAGGGAGCAGGTTTCCTCAGTAGTAGGCAGGCAAGTGGGGCAGGGACCCCAACCTTACCCCACACACATCTGCCTCTTATGGCTGAGGAGCTGCACACTAACAACCCGCTACCCAGATAGACAAAAAAATATAGCCTCCAGGGAAGAGGAGAGATGGCAGCAGTGATGTACTGCCAAAATTTTAACAAGGGGCTCTCTCAGAAATGTTCTGCCTCATGTGGCATTCCCTGGGCAAAATATTCCCTTCTGAATTTTTTTTCTTAAAGTGTTAACGAGCAATATATTTTGATTGAAAAATGACCCTTTCATAAGTAGGCACAATCCAGAAATAGGCATGAAACTCATAGCTGCCTAGCCGATCAATCTTTACTATATTTAGAGTACAGTCTGATTTCTGTATATCTTATATTTCCCTGCAGTCGGTATTGCATATGTGGTGATAATCATCTCCAAACAGTAGAAAAATCTTTTAAATACTGTTGGAAAACTCCTGTAATACCAAGCACAGCTATTCTATTACATTTCCAATTTTAGTTACGTCCTATGAGAATGCATCATAAGATAAACCTTTCTGCTAGTTTTTTTTTTTTTAAATCAGGCTTGTCCAATGTAATTTGAGTTTATTTTCTGTTCTTAGTTATCATTACTAATCATGCTGTACTCCCTGCTGAGAGAAGATTTATATACTGAGAAATGCTGATAACCGTTGGTTCAGAATACACAAGCACAGTGCTGATGCTTAGCAAAATTAAAGTGCATGCCTCTGTTTTTGGATAGTGATCTGCTACTTAGTTAGTGGGCATGATAAGTTATTAGATCTGGACTACGTCTCTTGTGCATTTTAGAATGTATTGGGTTCAGAATTACTTAGCTAAATATCTGGTCTAGCAACCCATATTCATGAGTAATCCTGGACCATGCAATTCAGCCAACTGAAGTCAATGTGATGATTCGTGACAGGATTGCTTATGTGAGTAAAAGCTGCAGCATCAGGCACTAAACTAGGTTCACTGAAAATTCAGGGCCTAATTTTGATTTCTACTATGTGGGTTTTACATTAGTGTAACCCTGTTGAATTAAATGGATTCATGTCTGATCTAATCTCATGTTAATGATAGAGTAGAATCAGACCCTCAGTATTAAGATTTTAGAATACAAGGCTTTTGTAATTTGTTATAAATCAACTCTTTTATTTGCATGGTACCATATATCTTCACTAAAAATGATAAGCAGAGGAATTTAATAGCTCAGTACCAAATACTGCTCATAGCAAACAGCCTGAGTGTCCCTAGGTTATGTTACAGGAATTTCTATGGAGGTTAGGGATGGGGAGAAGCAGATCCCCCACACAGGTCTGTCCTGTCCCTTACCATGGATTCACTACCCCAGCCTCTGCTTTTTTCTTCGAATGTACCCAGCTGGGGTCCACGGTGGTAAAGACACTCTGCAAAGCATCCCTCATCTGCCCTGCAGCAGGACCACATGAGTCCCATTGCTTTCACAACACTATCTGCTATTGGGGGAGCAATATTCCATTCCCCGTCCCCAGCCTGCGATTTTTCAACTTAAATACTGAGGAATACTTGCTGCAGCAATTTACAGCATTCACTTAACAACTAACTGCTCCTGGCCCCTTCATGTAAAGAACCTCACCTTACTCTTCAAGAAGCCTCCATGAAACCAGGGAGAACAGGCCCTAAATGTGCAAAGTGTAATGAAAAATATTATATTGAATTGAAACATATCTTTGCAGTCAGTGCATGCTTTCACGGGGAATCAAATACAAAAGTTGTACTAGAGAACAAATTGCTAATGCGAAAGAAATAAAGAGCATGAACTGTTATGGGCAGCATCTAGTGCTAAAAACATTGCTGCAGTTGATACAAGTATAATGTAAAATGAGATTCTTCATGATATGGAACTTAGCTGCATAAATGTCCAAGGTACAGGAGGGAATTTGGTAATTTTAACTGAAAGACTCTGAAAAGAACAAAAATAATACATACTGTGTATAGCAACATTTATATGTAGTATTTATAGGTTTATTGTGTTAGGGGTACAGATTATGTTGTGTGATATAGTGTAATTAGTGAGTTTAATCAACTTTAGCTGTCTATTATACAAAGAATTCTTTGTTGTGAAAATTACAATTCCCTGTTCATATAAATTATTGGTTTCTATTTTCTTCTCTATGTAATTAACCAACAAATGATTTCTAACTAGGAGTGTTTAAAAAGGCTATAATGAATGTTCCATAAACTCTTTTCCTGTAAGCAGTAGATATTAAAAATTTCCAGGTTGGCATTCTGATGTATTGGAAAAAGTATTTAAATGAGGGATGTTAATTATTAGCATAAGTAGGATAGCTGTGCTTCGTTTTAAACATGTGCATACTATTTCATCTGAGACTGTTAGGGCCAAATTCAGGGCTGAAATTAATGAAGAAGAGAGGAGTATGTGGGATATAAGTCCATGCAGAATTCAGCCTATAATTTAATTTCGAACGACACTTGTGTCTTAATGGAAAACAATTCTTATACTTTGAGGTTGCTGAATGTTGCCCTCTAAGACTGCTAGCACTTCTGTTTTCCCAGGATGTTTTGTTTTAACAGCATTCCAGTGGGAGTCTAAATTGGTTTAATTAAATTAAAGCTGCTTAACTGTGCTACTGTACACACTAAAGGACAAGCAGGATTTTGTTTTAATAGTTAAACTAATAATAAAAATAATAAGCTACAGACATCTTGGCAGCTGTACTTAGTTATTTGTCACCCTAATCCATTTAGAAATACTCTCCCACATTCTACCAAGCCATTATTCATGCACAGTAACAGAGCTCAAACCTAGACACGCATTAAAATCTATACAAAGTACACCTCTACCCCGATATAACACGACCTGCTATAACACAAATTTGGATATAACGCGGTAAAGCAGCACTCCAGGGGGGCGGGGCTGCGCGCTCCGGCAGATCAAAGCAAGTTCGATATAACACGGTTTCACCTATAATGCGGTAAGATTTTTTGGCTCCCAAGGACAGTGTTATATCGGGGTAGAGGTGTATAACTTCTGTAGTCACATTTACTATCCTGGCAGTTAATTTACAGGTTTTATTTTCTGATTTTTCTATGAGATTAATTATGCTCTAATTAATTAGATGAATGTGCATTACTTTTCTACCTTTTTGGAACAGCTTCAGTGCCTGGGGCGGAAACACTGATGGAGGATGCTGATGAATTTGAGAGTGCATCTCAAATAACAGGACCTGTAAGTATCTTCATTTACAGATGTGCCAATCTGCCAAAACAAGCTGTTGAAATAAGACTTCATATAAAGCTGAAGGGTATACATGAAAAATAATACCCAAATGACGAATTCTGTGGTAATGTTGGTTCCTTCAGTGGGGCAGGGGAGGTATTACCTTGAAACTATTTTTGTTTCCTGCACACTTGGAACCATACACGTCTCAATGGCAACATAGTTCCTATTGAGAGCAGTGGAAGTTCCACACATGGATCCAAAGCATTGTATGCAACTCTGCTATTAAAGAAGATCAAAAAACTATTTCACTAGCTTGGTAGTTTTTGCTTTATGCTCTATTGATGACAATAAATTAATCTAATTCTAAATTTAGTTATGAAATTTGCATTTAACCTCTCTCGGACAATTTAGGCCATTTGATATTGGGTGCTAGGAAACCAATAGAAAAGTGAAAGAGGTACTTGTTTAAAGTATCTGATTAATTTTTTTTAAATGATTAAATGTTAACTCTGATAAAATTTGAAACAAAGTTCTTATTTTGGAATGCAGTAGAATGTTATAAAGGTTGTAGAAAATATAGTTAGAGCAAAAACTATTTGAAGTCCAAAGTGGCCATGTGTAAAGACTGAGAGTAGAGTATATGCCCAAGTAAACTACTATTTCTCAAGCAAACAAAACAGAAACTAAACTAAAAAGTAAACAACTGCCTCCTACTGGTGAAGTTTAGAAACTTACTTCATAATATACTAGCATGAAGCTTAATTAAGTAATAAGTGCTGCTCAGATACAGGAATTCTATTTTGTTATCTCCCTTAAATGCAGATAAGGTTTAATGAATCCCTTTCTCCAAAGTGAAAAGTAAGCCAATCCAGTTGTTGTTTGAGCTAAGGAAAGAAGGGCCCTATTGCTAAGAATTAACATATCTGAGGTCTATGATCATACAACCACTTAAATACTAATAATACTAAATAATATTTAGCTCTTACAGTGCCTTACATCCAATGATGTCAGAGCAATTCACAGACTTGAACTGATTTTAAGCCTCACAACACCTGTGTAAGATAGATAGGAACAGAGATGTATTGCCAAAGGAATAGGAGAATTTTGTGGGTTGGCTTGAGGCTCCTGTTAATTTACCCGGTTATGCTCTTCTTCACATAGAGCTAACAGCAAGCACTGTAATACATTCACTTTCTATTTTTTCCTATTGAATCGAAAACCATGACTCACTTTTAATTTTTCCACCTTGGCAAAAATTATAGCGGGCGGTGAGGAGGACAGGTTTCCATGGCCAGCATTTTTTTAAATTTAATTTAATGAAGGAGGGAAGAGGCTGGTGCCCCCTGCTGGTCGCTCTGGGAATTAGCTCTTGCCCACTGCGGAGCACCCTCAACGCGTGGTAGCTCGCCCGTTATCTCCGTTCTGCTGTTCTGGGACCCGCGTTGCTCCCTGCTCGGCGGTGTCCTCTTCAGGACAGTCTTCATCCACTTCAGGACACTGCCCTCCGGCAGTGCCCACTACTCTGGTCTCACCCCATTCCGCGGGGGCGTTGTTAACAACAATCCTTCTGTTTGCCCCTGCCTCAGTGGCCAGCCACGACCCTAGAGTCTAGCCCTAGTCTTAGGGGCGGGTCGCGGTCTGTCTCAGCCCCTCTCCTCGGTGGCCAGGGGCAATGCTAGGGTGGAAGGGGGGGACCCAGGCCCACCTGCTACTCTGGGTCCCGACCCAGGGATCCTCTAGTGGCGGCTTACCTCTGTCATCCTCTTCTCTGCTCTTGCCCACTTAGCTTCCGTGGGCCACTTCCCCTTTGGCCCTATGCACCTTCTCGACCCCTTCTAGCAAGGGCCGCCGCCTGGCAGGTATCCAGGCCGGAGCCCTGCTCCTCTTCCCCAAGCCTGCCCAGCACTGCTCTGTCCAAGGTGCTGCTCCTTAGCTCAGGAGCTAGTCCTTCTTCCTCACTAGTCAGGGATTGACTGACTTCGCTTCTGCTAGGCAGCCTTTATATAGGGCCCGGCCCTGATTGGCTGCCTCTTTCCCTGCCCTGATTGGCTCTCCCCAGGCCTTGGCTGATTGGCTGCTGGTCTGTGCAGCCTCTCGGGCCTGGTTCAGCCCGTCTCAGGGGTGGGGCACAGCTCCACCACACTCCCCCAAAAACTTCCTTTTGGTAAGTTACTCACTGTGACAGTTCTTTATTGGAACAATATGGTGATAATGCTTACCAGGGGTGTTGAGGACAAATATGTACATTAAATAATGTAAGGCACTTAGATACTTATAGGATCCCCTTCACCATAGTATAGGGTTGCCAGCTTGGTAGTATTTAAAAACCAGACACTCCAGCAGGAGTGCCGGAACCTCCCCTGCCCTGCCTCTTTTCCCCAAGGCACCACCCCTCTCTTGCCCAAAGCCAGTAGATCTGACCGGACACTGTGAGGTCCCCTTTTCAACCGGACTTTCCGGTCGAAAAACGGGCACTTGCCCACCCTACCATAGTACCTAAGATAGATTAATAAGAGAGGATAAAAAATATACAGTAACTTCAAAATCATCTATTCAAAATATACACACTGATTTATTTCCACATAAATAACCTCAAAACACTTATACATATAATGTAAAAGCTGAGGGGGGAAGAGAACAGTAACTATATTAATCAAAGACTTCCCAGAAATGGAACCATTTTTTCCATTATAGTCACACAGTTGGATATCCACACGCACAAGAGTGGCTAAATCTGCTAATCCAGTTCCACTCTTGCCGAATTTAATGCTAAGAATATCTTCAAATGCAGTAATATGACTCTTTTGGCATTTAAACTGGTCTTTAGCAGAAATTTCTCTGGAGCCTTATTTGTATTTGACAAGTTTGTTTTAATTCCTACTTCCCTAATAAGAATGACCTGTTGTGGGACAAATCAACCAACATTAGGAAAGAAGGGTCTTTAGGCAAAGAGTGGGAACTGAAAGGAGAGCTAAAGGAGTTCTTTTTCAATATCCACAACTTGGAACCCACACTTCAGCCTTTTGCTTTGGACTTGCCTAAAGCAATGCCCATGCCTGTACTTTGAAAATCTTGGGGTAGGTCTCAGCTGGTATAAATTGTCATAGCTCCATTGAATACAATTTACACCATCTGAAAAACTACCTCATTATGTTTTTGTTGGACCCTTAAAGGGATAGGATAAATTATACATTTACATTTCTGTTTTACAATAAAGAACATGACAAACTAACTTTCTAACAAGCTAGTAATAAACTATTATTATTAATGTTTTAGGTTTCCATCCCTAATGAATCTTCTAAGAGTCAAACATGAAGTACTCTGTTTAGTCTGTCAAGACTGCTGTATGTCAAAACTGGAAAGGGCATATTGTCAAGTGAGATATCTAAAGATTACTGGTCTCTCTCCTTCTCTTTGCTGTAGAATTTTACCTAATATCCAATCACCAGAAAACAAACAAGAAAGTTACTAAGTTACCCCAATCTCTGAATTTCCCAATGCATCCCATATTTTGTCTATCTGTTGGGGCTCAGTCTTGCAAACATTCACTTCTGGTGATAGGACGTGTAACTGAGAATAGTCAATATAAGACTAGTGTGACTTCAGTAGGGCTGCTCACAGTAGTAAGTATTCCCAATAATAACTGTTTGTGGGACTATAAACTTTTGGGGGACAGATGGACTTTATTTTATCTACTGTACAACATTAAACACACTGGTGCTAAGCAAATAATAAATACTAGTGACAAGTAAATTGATGTATTTTAAGCAATAACGTGATCTTCTCACCATTCCAGTTTTCTGCTGTTGTACCTAAACTAAAATTGAATTTATTTAAAATATGCTTAGTGATCTTTCCCAGTTTATGACCTCAGCTGGAAATTCTCATTCCTGACCTCTTTCTAACACAGCTTGTATATACATTTCATATAAGAAAGATACCAAGGTGAAATGCTTGGCTTTTGCTTATGTAATTTTGCAGTGAGACAGGTTTTTGGTTTTTTTACTCAAGATAACAAAATTCTGCAAAAATATTTCACCTGGCAAACTTTAATTCTAGCTCACTGACTTTTTTTTAATCTAGAAATTAAAAAATATCAGATGACATGTACTGATATAAAATGGGGCACATGAACTGGACAGTTAACACCATATAATATGGTAGTTACTTTTTGTTTCAGAACCTGGAACAAGCAGGGCTTGTGATTATTTTTGTTTTTCTTGCAACTCTTTGTACTCACTCAACTCTATCTTGCATGCTGACATAAAAACATTTTTTCTTTTCAAAAAAATGCTTGTGAGTTAACCCAATTCAAGTGTAACAAATGAAAAGAAAGTCATCCAACTGCAAAAGGCAGTTTTTTGCCATTTATTTCTTACTGTGAAAACAAATACCCAATAAATTGTTTTATAGAGGTTTATTGCTTTAAATATTTTTTTCTCCCATTTGCTCTTTTAGTTTATTGAAAACACACACACACACACACACACACACACACACACACACACACACTAGATTTTGTTATGGTATGTATAAAAAATCCTTAATGGTAATTAAATTTGTGGAACTATTTGAGGCTTGATTGTACTAGGAAAAATTAAAAGTTTAACACTTTGATGTGCATTAAATAGGACTACCGTATATACTCTATCATAAGCCGGTTCATTTATAAGCCAACCCCCCCAAGATGGATAAGTAAAAATGGAAAATTTTTATAACCTGTTCATAAGCCAACCCTATAATTCAGGGGTCAGCAAACTTTGGCTCCTGGGCCATCAGGATAAGCCACTGGTGGTCCGAGATAGTTTGTTTACCTTCCGCAGCCACGGAGGTTAAACAAAGTGTCCCGGCGCACCAGCTGCTTACCCTGACGGGCCGGGCAGCAACTGGTGGCTGTGCTGCCTCTCCTTGCTCCCTCTGTTGGGGGGAGGGGCTGTGTCCCACCTCTCCCTCTCTATACCCGTTCATAAGCCGACCCCCGTCTCCGGTGCTTCCCTTTTTTACTA